TAGTTGAGTACAGTGGTTTTATCTCATCCTACTACTACACGGTTGTGTTTTTGTTAATGCATGATTGTAGTGCAATAGCCGAGTTCCTTTTTTCTCTGACCAAACCTCAGTGAGTGGAGCTGTACTTGAATCTATGACTAATTGGTTTGAATGTTATCTCTGTATACCGAATAAGGCACAGCTCCATATTTTTTGTCACAGTGGCCTGTAATCAGACAGATAGACGGGGGGAGCGGAAAGCGAAAAGAAATCATGGTTCATTAGGAAGAAAGGGGGAATAAAAGTCGTTTTATTGTCTTTGTGCCTATACATGCCCATCCCTATATCTATAATTCTTTTACCGCCTTGTTCGTTATCCTAATATCTTATAAACAATGTTGACTAATTTTGTCCTCACTATTGGATGGATAAATGTTTATTCATATTTTCAGTCACGTGTTGTTTTTGTTTATGTTGAGCAACTAATTAAACTGCATGCGCAAGGAAGCGAGTGAGCGAATTCTCCAAATTATTTTTGTTATTTTTAATTCACACAATTTTTGTGCGATTCCAAGTCAGCTTTGTTTCGTAATACTCAAAATCATCTATCTGGTCTTTATCTGTTTTTCAGGATGGTGATGGTAAGATTGGAAGATTATATGTTATCGTGAACTGATGTTATCTTAAGAACTACAAAGATAAGCGGATCGATTGACGAGATTATGAACTTGGCATGAATATGTACTACGCATGCCAAAACACCGCCTACCATGATGTCGTGCCATGCTAGGCATACCTAGATTCCGTTTGAAGAGGGTTCAGGGTGGCCTGATTAAGACGCATGTTGGGAGATGTGCACTGCCTGTCTGTGGTCTCCAAGTTGGTAGGAATCAGTGGTTCAGGGCTCTTGGTAACATCGCTAAAAATCGGTAACAATGACGCAGATGTATTCACTTTTTGACAACTTCTAGTCTTCATCTTCAAGTTGTTTATTTCCTCAGTCTTCCTTCCGATCCACCTGTTATTTGTATACTACTATCAAGGGTGTGACAACTTGAGATGATGCACTTGTGTATGCCAGGTTCAACGTTGATTTCGCCTATCTGTCTCTGTTCAAACCTCCCGTGTAGGTGGAACAGCCTTTGATTCCATGCCATGACCCATCTAATTATTGAAAGTTATCTCCTTAAACCAATCAGGCAAAACTCCACTACAAAGATATTATAGAGTGTGTTCAACATTGGTTTCATAATATATTTGAAAAATCTTCTCTAGTATAAACAAACCGTTGAATTTGTCTCCTCTAAATGTTGCCACTGTTTCTTCATTCATCTTCATCTTTTGGATAAACACAGGAATGAATTATTAGCCACTACTACTACTACTAGTAGTAGTAGTAGGGAGGATAGGGTATGCTATGTTTCGTGATAGATGAAGGTGAATTTCTAGACATATAAGAAGGAAGTCATATGTTACGAATTGAATCGAGTTGTTGCGTGGAGGAGGTCAACTGAAGAAAGCATACTAAGCATGACTAATGTGGTTGGTTGATGAATCCTGAAAGAACTGACAATATCTCAGTGTAAGAATTCCAAACTAACTAAGCGTATACCATGTAACCGAGAGAGTGCATATTAGTTATGGAATAGTCAGTCATTGGAGTAGGTGTGATTGTGATCATCTTGGAAGGGGAACGAATAGATAGCATTATCATCATCATCACCATCATGAAGATGAACATGGGAGCAGGCAATACTGCGTAACGGTCCTGATCCATATCAGCTAGAGTCCCGCGGACCGAGACCGGCTAGTGTGCATCACCATACATGTCTGAAACCAACAGTTAAAGACTTCATACATTGATACCATGTTTTAATTTGTCCACCCTGAGCCTTTTTCCAGCCTGAATCTACTTCGGCCAACATTTTGTGACGAGGTAGACTGTGATTGCGCATGCGTAACACACGTCCCAGCCATTGACCTCAGTTGATGAAGGCTCAAAACCGCATCAAATTACTTCCCTCTCCTTTCTAACGCTCTACATCGAACTTCTGCATTACTCACGTGATGGCACCACGAAACGATCTATGCTACGAACGCGATGGCACTCAAACATCTGAAGCCTCCTCATGTCCTCCACCTTCAATGGACATGTTTCACAACCATACATTCCCTTAATAAGCAATCGGATAGCGTGGCTGTGCCACACATGGTGTAAGTTGGCGAAAGCCAACCTAGCGTTTTGTATCCGTGACACCTCCACTGACCTTCTTATCAGGACGATTCCACTTCTCAGGTAAGTGAAGTGTTCAACGCGCTCAACCACTTCACTGTCTATTCTTAGTCGGGGGTAGCGTTGAAGACCAGTCCTGGAGCAACAATTTTCACTCGGGTGGCAAGAAACGCATCCCAAAAATTCTCAAACTGCCACTCAAGGTTTCCAGAAGACTCTGCATCTTTTCAGTGTCTTCACCTAATAGCACCGTGTCATCCATGATCAGGTGAATCCTCGTGTGGTTAGTTGACGAGAGGGAAGAGATAACACATTAAAATAAAGTTGTTACTTACGAAAATGTATCAATGAAAACATTATGAAAGAAAAAGGAGGATGAGCCATAAAAGAATAACTCGATAACTATGACTTTAAAGGTAATCGAAGATAAATTATATACATCACTATGATCAGTTTTTGTTTCCTGTCATTTGATGTCTCCAAGCATATAGGTTAGTTTCTAATCTTTCCAGGGCCCCAACCAGATAGTCGTCATGGCTCACATTGACAGCCATTGACTTAATAGATTGATGGTATGTCGATGAAGCTGAAGAAGGTTTCATGATGTCGCCAGTCCATTGGTGAGTTGGACAGTAAGGGTCACTGCTTAACCTTTGAATTTTCAGATTTATTCCCAACAGGTGTTAAAAGTGTTAAGAAATCCTTCTTAAGAATTTAAGACAAGAGAGGAACTATCACCCAGCTCTTGTGTTACTTATTGTTTTGCGTAACTGTTTTCTTTTTCAATCAATGGTCGTGTGCTTGAAATCGCTCCATCTATTGAGGTTTGTGCAACCAGGTCATGTCATCAGCTCTCGCACCATGTTGAGCCAGGTATCTTTGCCTCTAATTTTGCCTGATATTACTGTTTTCGCACCCTCTTGACGCCGTTGTTCTCATCTGGTTTTGCCTGTTGTTGAGACAGTTACAGGTCTCTGTCTTTGCATGTCGGTGTTGTTGTTGTGGCGCTGGGGGTGGTTGACGTGCTGATTAGTGATTAGAGTAGATTCTTCTTTGTGTTACAGATTTGTAACCCTCGTATACTGCTAGGATGGCATTACTAGTCCAAGTAAAAAGGTTATCGCTCACAACCTGGTGTATATGAAATATGGAGGTTTCACTCTCTTCACCTGACTACACAGAGGTTGACCAAATCGCAGGAGAATTTTCGTTAGACCTAGAATATGCAGATGACATAGTCCTGTCAGGTGGCGACGCTGACAACATGCAGAGTCTTCTGGACACTTCGAGTGGCAATTTAAGATTGTTTGGGATGCGTTTCTCACCACCCAATGCAAACGTTTGCTCCAAGATTGGTCTTCAACGGTGACACGGCTAACAGTAGAGAGTGTAGTGGTTCAGTGTACCTATCACTTCACTTACCTGGGAAAGTAGGATTAGCCCTGGTGGCTCAGTGGCCGACGAAATCTCTGCACGAATACAAAAGGCTCAACTGGCTTTTGCCAACTCACGCCGCCTGTTGCGCCACCGCGATATCCGATTGTCTATTAAGGGTCGCGTGTACTGCACAGTAGTCCACTCTCTTCCTGTGAAATATGGCCATTCAAGGTGGAAGACATGAGAAGGCTGGCTCCCGGTGTCTGACCACTGTTGCCTTCGTAGTATAGACCGTATTCCGTGGTGTCACCACGTGAGTAACGCAGACGTCAGGTGTGTAGAGTTATAGGGAGTAGAGGTAAATCAGCTGATGCTGTTGTGAACCTCGATCGACTGAGATGGTTGACTGGACACATGTTGCGTATGCCTAGTCGTCGATTGCCTCGTCATTCAATGTTGGCCGAAATAGGTTCAGGCTGGAAAAAGGTCCGAGGTGGCCAGACCAAAACATGACATCAATGTATGTATGAAGTGTTTGACTGTTGGTTTGAACCATGTGGGTCGATGCAGACTGAGTGGTTGGTGTCGGTGGGACAAGAGAAACCAGTGGTTGTTGGAGACTCTAGGTGATCACATGTCTGAGAACTGATGTCAGTGGCGCAGATGTATCCCCACACACATTATCCTCATCTTAACGACGCTATACCGAATCTCACCATTTTCTTATTCTTCCTTTCTCTCTCTTAGTACTTTATATTTTTCGTTTGACTGAATTTTCTTCTCTTCATCTTCCAGTTCACTGCCTTTTACTTGATGAGGTGTGGCAACTCGAACCATTGCACAGTCATGCCTTGTCCTGTGTTGATTTGTATGATGATGATGATGATGATGATGTATGTGAAATATATAGGTGTCGTTGTTGATCTATACTATCGACTGAATTTTCTAACACAAATTGTGTTGATTCGCTTAGTGCTTATCTTATTTCAAGTATTGAACGTTACCTTGTCCTAGGCTTATCCGTCTATTTGATAATAATGATGAATACCAGTTGAATGTAGATTAGACGTTTCGTTTTATTCGGGATTCGTTAGTTGTATATGCCTTTCGCCTAATGAGTGCTGTTGTTCCGACTAAAGGTATAAGCTATAGGTGTTTCTTTACACATCTATTTTATCTCATGTTTTGGTCTAGTCCTTTTTCATTCTTATTCATTCATGTGACAGCTCCATCATTATTAATTTGGTATTGTGTTAGATTGTTTACTGTTTCATCTCGTTAACAGCGGAGTATGTTTTATCTAGCCCCGGGTTCGAGACCCCGATTTGCTAGGGTATTGTGAAGTTATGCAGTTGAATTACTACTGTAATCTGATATTTTGTATTCTTCACATATCCTTTTCTTATTTCAGCCTCTCAAAAAAGGTGAAGTTCAAACCAAAAGCGATGAATCGTCTAATATCTTGACCTTTGCTAGAACAACAACAAAAACAGTAGCAACATCTTCTTCTGGGAATCATCGATCAAAATCATTATCATCAAAAATCCCGTCAACATTTATTACTGCACGATTGATTTTATGCAGTAGAAATTTAGCTGATCACTTTGAATCACGATATCATGATAAATTAGGCAATCTGTTAGACGATGTAGCTCGTCTTAACAACACTAGTAACAGTACAGTTAATGATGATAATGATGAGACAGGAAGTTATCATGAACATGGAAGTACACTGTCAAAAGACGATATTCCCAGTGGTAGTAGTAAGCATAGTAATGATGACAATAGTTGGTCAAAGATAGTAGTAATAGTAGTATAAAAAGTAGTGGGAACAGTAGTACTGGTTGTGACAGTAGTCAAGTGATAGATTATTCACTACAACAAAATCGATTAGAGAGAGCACGATGTCAATTTCATAGTGTTCTTGAAGAATTATTCGCTGAACGTATAAATTGGGGTCGTATTATTGCAATGTTGGCATTTCTACGTGCACTATGTGAAGTTATTGAAGAGAATCGACGAGTTACATCATCTTTACAATTGTCTAAAGAGGATATATCAAAGACAACGGTTAGTACATCTACTGCATCCTGTGAACGACTTTCATCGCATACTCCTATTGATTCATCAAATTGTGATATACAAGTGAGTTTTTTTGATTTGATTATGTGAATAGTTTTTTTGTGATGGGTTCATGTTAGTAGATGTGCAGATCAACTGACTGTGATCCGCCAACTCCTCTCTCTTTTGTCCTAGCTGGGATTCATCAACTGGGTGTGCTTAGCTTCCGGTGAATTGTGTTGCTCTTGACAATACTTTAACGCAGGACCAATGCCTTCAAACACCCAAGGGTTATCCACTAGGTCATTGAGCCACGATAACCACTCCTTAAGCTACGAGTAAGGTGCAGTTTCGATATTATTGCTTCAAAATTTCGCGTCGTTGATTAGATCAAGTTGATCAGTGAATATCGGCATATAGGCTATCATGAATTAGTGGCCTAGTAGATAACGTTCTGGCGTTCGAAGTGATTAGTCCTATGTTCGAGTCCTAGGGAAAGCAATATCACTAGGTACATCCAACTGACGAGTCAAAAACAGGACGAAACGCGCGTCCTGGATTCTACTGGTAGCCATTATCTCATTATTAAATGAGAGACTGAAAATACTAATAATATCGAAGCATCCACACAGATGAGTTGATATGCCAATAGTGGCCGATCAATTCAATCCTATCAACGACCAGAAATTACAAGCTGTAATATCTAAAGAATGTCGTTTGTGGGGATTTATTGATTTCAAGTTTATATCCATCATGGACTGACATAACTTGAAGGAACATTGGAAACCTGGGAGCACTGGACAGCTGTTTCGTCCTAGTATGGACTCCACATGAGTGCGCACCCATGACCCCGAATGTGAATGGTGCTGATCATCGAACCTGAAGGTCCTGGGTCTGATCCCTAGCGGGGCGGAGTCATGAGTCCTCACTGCCGAGGAGTCCCATACTAGGACGAAACAGCGAACTGTCCAGTGCCCCCAGGTTTTCAATGTTCCTTCAACTGATGTTACTGATTTTTATCTTGTACTACTGTCATTCTTAAGGCTTCATTCTTATGGTCACTCACCACGTAATAAGCAACTTTTAAATCCTCATGAGACTTATTCTTCATGTACACTCTTTTAAGTATTGATGTTTGTGAGAGTTCCACACGTGTATTTATCACCAATGTAATAAAACGGTAGGGTAAGGCAAAGTGCGAAGTTTTTACGATTAACCCTTTTCAACCTTTATCAGCTGAGGTGGCTTGAATATGTACTGCGCATGCCGATCCATCACCTGCCCCGATGTGCCATACTAGGGGAAACTGGATTAGGTTGGAATAGGAGGGTTCAAGATGGACAGACCAAGATGTGATACCAGTCAATGAAATCCCTAACTGTTGGTCTGAAGCGTGTGGGGGAGATATAGACTACCTGGCTAGGGTCCCCAAGGTGACAGGAATCATTGGCTGTAAACTCTTCATGAGCTGGCTGAAAATCAGTTAATGTATTCACTCTATGACGTCCTTTATCTTCAGATTGTTTATTCTCTCATATAACTTTGTCCACTTTGATATCAGTCATTTCTATCCACATGTTCTTCGCTTTCTGCTGTGTAATATGGTAACTTAAGGTGATGTGGTTGTGTACGAGGTTCTACGTTGATTCTGTCTATCTGTCTGTCTTCTAATCTTTCCTTCTCAAAAGGAAAAAGATAGCACAACTGGAATGCTAGCCGCTTGAGGAGCCCACCTTACATCCCTGTCCAATCAACCAGCAGTACTTTCATGCCATAAGGTGTTAACTGTTTTTAGTCTTATCACTATCTACCAGACCTTTCTAGCCTAGTGGGACGTTGAGGAATAACAATTCCAACCAACATACCTCATTTTGTCATTGTAATGTTCAATTGAAATTCATCCAACAACGTTTTGGTCACGTCTGACGCTTAATAATACTCCTACCTGACTGCCCAAATCACCTTGGTAGGTGGAGGGGGTTTCGAACCCTTGACCCATTAGTTGAAAGTCAACTCTGAATCAAGGATCCACAGCAATATTCAAGTCTTATCATCACCTCAGGGTATCAGCCACCGGTGTTCATGTTGGACTCCAAGCTAATCAGTCGAACAGTATGCTATGTTCACCAATTGTATCAGTACAGATATAACTGTTTATAGAAAGAGGTGGGGAATGGGTTGACGATTGTCATAAAAATATATAGCAGAATATTGTTTAAAAATGCTTCTTTTTCTTTTCAGGCACTTCCTTCAAATCCATCTCCTTCATGCAGTTATGAAAATCCTGTAACTAGTAGTCATGAATCACCTAAAAAAGGTTGAAATCTTCTACAGTAGAAAATCCGTCAAAAATTAAAGAACTTCACTTACGACCTTGTGCAGCTGACTATGTCTTATGGACAGCTGAATTTATACATGGACCTCGTGAACTCTGGAATTGGATTTCATCACATGGAAACTGGGTAAAATATATTCATATATTGTTTGAAAATAGTATATTAGTTTGAATGTGACTTTCTATCTTTTCAATTTTATCCTGTTATCCCTTCTGTTCTCTTTATATTTATCTGATTCTCGTGTAGTTTAATGAGAACAGATATCCCTTCAAAGATGATATAGTTCCATTATATGGATGACATATTTACAATACTGAAATCAGAATACATCAAATATATTCTTGACGCAAATAAATTCAGTGGTGAACGTAATCTAGTTTATGCTAGGTGATGATTGGAGGTGAGATGGAAATCTGGACTGCGGCCGCATTCGAACCAGCGACCACTGGGTTACCGGCCCGGTGCTCTACCGACTGCGGTCCAGATTTCCATCTCACCTTCAATGGTCACCCAGTATAAATACTAGTTTGCTATGTCAGATAGTCAAATGACAATCAATATGATGCTCCCCCTCTCTGATTCAGTTAGATTTGGATTGAGATGAGAAGTCCTGACTAGGCACCCAGCGTGAATACGATCAAGAGGTAGTAACACGTCACGAATTCATGCGGCAGTCATCGGGCGAAACCCTTGGTGATTGAAGTGAAACAAAAATATGGTCATCAGTCGGACCTGGTAGCTCAGTTGGCAGAGCACCTGGTTGGTAACCTGGTGGTCTGGTCGCTGGTTCGAATCCGGCCGCGGTTCAGATTTTCATGTCACCTTCAATAGTCACCCAGTATAAATACTAGTCAGATAGTCAAATGATAGTAATCTAATTTACCGATGAATTGGAAAGTGATAAATGTGAACTCTAGTAATGTTGGATTGAGGAGATATCTCTAAATATGTTTGGTGTGCGTTTGGCATCTTTCAAATTTAAGATGGTTCTCCAGAATTGGTCCACTGTTAGTACTCCTAGTTTAATGATAGGGAGTGAAGTGGTGGAATGTATCGGTCACCCCACCTACGCGGGGAGTTGCGCCAGTTTCAATGGGCTGGTTGGTGACGAAATCTCAGATAGGACACAGAAACCCGTTTGGCTTCTGCCAAATTACGTCTTCTGTGGTGCCGCTGGTGAAGAGGTTGACTATATTTCAAAGGAAGAGGAAAAGTAGGAGATATGAAGTGGTTACACGTATTTGACCATAGATGTCTTCGTAGCACTGCTCGCGTTTGATGGAATCAGCATGTTTGGAATACTGAGGTCTAGGGGAAGGGTATTGGCAAGATAGGCAAGTCGATTGATGGGGTTATGAGCCTTCATCGGCTAAGGCGCCGTGGACATATACTGTGCATGCCGTTCCACCACCCGCCTAGATATGCTATGCTGTGGGAAGCTGCATTAGGTTGGAAGAGGAAGGTTCAGGGTGACCAGACCAAGAGGTGACACCAGTCCATGAAATCCCTGACTACCGGTTTTAGCCGTGTGAGAAGATACAGACTACCTGGCTGGGGCCCCTGAGATGATAGAAACCAGTTGTTGAGAAGTCTCGGTAACGACTCTGGAAATCGATCACAGTTTACATCTGTCTAAATCTTGAATATTTGCACTCCCATTTATCTTCAAATTGCTTATTCTCTCGGCAACTTTGTCTACCTTAAGATTACTCTTTTCTATCCATTTATTCTTTTCCCACTACTGTGAAGTGTGGTAACCTGAGGTGATACGCTTGTTTGTCAGGTTCTACGTTGATTATTTTCGTCAGTCTGTCTATCTCTTGCCATACAAAGAAAGTAACTGTGAACCGAAGATTACCAGATTTTATTGATACAATTTATTATCATTTGACCTATGGGTTCATAATGGAACATAGGGCTTCAGTAGCCCGTCACCATTCCACTCTTCCCTCTACAGTCTTTTGAACCTCCCTCCACGACTGCCCACAAGCTTTCATTTCTTCCTTGCACGATCTCCTCTATGTCACTCTCGGACACCAAACTCGTCGTTTCCCCTTCGGGTTACATTCGACGGCATGGCTTGACGTGTGATGTCCCCAAAACTGTCTTCTCAGCGTATATCCAATCCAATCCATCTCCACTTTCTTCTACATATTTGTTGGGCGATGGATTATCACTTCGTTGGTTGGTTGCCAGGTCAGAGTTCCTCCCTGCTTATTCCTTCTCGCGATCTGATCTGATCTTCAGTATGTAGTGAGCTTAGGCGGCAGCTGTTGATGATCTATATTTGTAGTTTGTTAGAAATGTTTTTCGTAAGTCACCAAGTCTCTCAACCATTACATGGATGCACTGACTTGACTGACTTAGTGTTTGAAATCCGGATGTTGTTGTTTATGATGAGTGAAGTGCAGTATATCTCCACACTGATTTCAGGTTAATGAAGGCATGTCTTGATGTCTTTCCGATTCTGGTTTTGACATCCTCCTGTAGTTGAAATGATGGTGCCTTGGTAGATAGGTAGGTAAGTAGGTGAAAGAGACAACTTCCTTAAGACTTCTCCCACTGATGGTGATTGGTGCTTGTTGTTGTTATGGGTTGGGTATCTTCGTCATTTGTGTCTTCTCTACGTCCACCTGAAGGAAGTCCCGTCTTCCCTGCCCTGTCTCTTCTCTTCTACCAACTTCTTATTTTTCACCTGTACATCTTCCACTTTGCGTGACATAAGACATTAGACATAAATCAAATCATCATGGGCAAAATGCAAATCTTTTGAGGTCTTTTCATCGATGAAACAGCGAGCGTATGCCCATATTCTCACAGCTCCTCACAGTTGTTTCTTGCATGATCCAGTTCAGTCGACGACAAGTTGTAAGATGATCGGTGATAGTAGGTGGCAACCTTGTCTTACCTATCAACGTGTCTTCACTTTAGAGGCATGAGTGAGGTTTCCATTGTGAATCACTTGGCCTGTAGCATCATCATATAGCATATAACTGCTGTTGAATGAGGTTGATAAAGGTTTGTGGCACTCCGTAGTTTTGAAGGAGTCTCTAAACTACTTTTCGGTGGACGCCTCGATTGAAGGCTTTTTCAAAGTCGATGAAGTTGAGGTGGATAATTGACTGTCATTCTATGTTCTGTTGTATGATGATGCGCAGCACAGCGTTGTAATTTGATCCGCACGTGATTTGGTTTTCTTGAAGCCAGCCAGTCTGTTCCAGTCGTAATTCTTAATCCAGCGCATTCTATAGTCTATCCAGGATGACATGGCCTAATATTTTGCTTAGTGTGAACAGGTGTGGGGCATGATTCCACACCAGTTCTTGCAAACACTTAGGTCTCCCTTCTTGCGGATTGGTACAATTGGGTGACGTAATTTAATTGCAATGAGTGCGGAGCGAAAGCTGTCGACCAAGGTGAATAAGAATAACAGAGCACAAAAACCTTGCTAAATCAAGACTAGTAGGTCCTAATAAGATAAGAAATCTAGAAGATCAGCTCGGCTATAGCTATACCCACAATTGCACATAAAATAGGGTGGGATAGAGTGATAGTATTAAAAACTAATCTGTTTGGGTGGAGGGATAGATTGATAAGTGAATCTGCGTTTATCAAATCGACATCAAACACACGCAATTAGAAAGATTCTCTTCCTGTCCCAAATATACGGACTATATAAACTCTGCCTCAAGGTTATAGAGTTAGTTACCTGACATGAATATGGACACTAAATTATGTCCGAAACGTTGTCCAGTAAATAATACTGTTCTTTCACTGTATAATACGTCTAATAAATCAAATGGAATTACCGTCTTCTCCAGTACTCAAGTTTTACTCGTTTATTGGTTGAATATGGTCTCGATCCGCATGCTGTAGTTATAATGGTAAGTGAAAGTCAGGTGGTTGATGAACGCGTTAACCACTTCACTTACTGGGTGGTTGGTAGCCTATGAAATCTTGAAATCGATACAAAAGACACCAATTTACTTCATCTATGATAGAGACAACATAACCGAATACTTTATTAACAGTCAAGTAAGTGTACTGTGTGTCAATCCGTGTTGTCCTCCCATATGTGAATGTGAAACATGGCTGTTGAAGGCTCAGGATTCTAAAACGCCTCGTGTATTTTACAATGTTCATAGGACTATGCGCATATGTTGGAACCACTGCGTGTATAATGCAGAGAGATAAGGCCATACAATGTTGAACAAAAGACGTAAGTCAGTTCATGAAGCTTCCAACTGGTGATTTTAGGTGTGTAGAGAGGCGTAGACTTAGTTCTTCTCCTCTCTTTGCTCTATAACTCTGTATTATTTTTTACTGATATACTTTTCAGTTGTTATTGTTGTCTTTCTTGGAGGTTACCCTATCACTTGATGCGAGTTTTTGTAACTTGAACTGTTATCCAGTAGTAATCTTGGCATCCTGGACTGTATTCAGCAACTTTGTACATATGCGTACAGTAAGCTGTACTGTATAAGGGTTAATAATACTACTTGACTGCCTAAACCGTGGTACGCGGAGCATGGTTCAAACACGTGGTTGTTGAAAATAGTGTTTTGCTGAAGCAGTTATTTTCTAGTGTTACTATGTTTCCAGTGACATGAACGCTCCCTTTTCACTCCACCACTGTCAGGAATCAGTAACAGTCCAATTGATCGTGAACAATTGTCGATTAAGGGTTGAGCGTACTGTGCTTGAGTCCTCTCTGTTTACTGTATGCCTGTGAAACATATCCAGGAAGGGTAGAGGACATGAGGAAGACTTCGTGTTTGACCACCATTGCCTTCATAGCATAGGCCGTGTTTCGTTGTTTCACCATGTCAATAATGCGTAAGTTAAGTATAACGTTCTAGAGAGCAGTGGGAAAATCATTTGATGCAGTTGTGAACCTTCATCAAGTGACATGACTGACGGAAATGTGTTACGGAGGTCTAGCCACTATCTGCCTCGTCGCACAATGTTAGCTGAATCAGGTTCGGGATGGAAAATCTTTGTTTTGATGGTTTCGCCATTTAAGGTGATGCACACTAGCCGGTTGGGGTTCACAGGACAAGAGACACCAGGCATTGAGAACTCTAGGTGATAAGTCCCAGAATCGATTTGTCAGTGACACACATGTATCCACACACGCTTTCCTCATCTTAACCGCTGTGCTGAATTCAGCATTTTCTCATTCCTCCCTTCTCTCTTTTACTACCTTTAACCAATTTTTCCTTCTTTCATAATCTTCCATTTTATTACCACTTTCCGTGATGTGTTGACATGAGGTGTGGCTGGCAACTTGGGCCTTCACGTAGTAATGCCTGCTCCCATGTTCATCTTCATGATGGTGATGATGATGATAATGCTATCTATTCGTTCCCCTTCCAAGATGATCACAATCACACCTATTCCAATGACTGACTATTCCATAACTAATATGCACTGTCTCGGTTACATGGTATACGCTTAGTTAGTTTGGAATACTTACACTGAGATATTGTCAGTTCTTTCAGGATTCATCAACCAACCACATTAGTCATGCTTAGTATGCTTTCTTCAGTTGACCTCCTCCACGCAACAACTCGATTCAATTCGTAACATATGACTTCCTTCTTATATGTCTAGAAATTCACCTTCATCTATCACGAAACATAGCATACCCTATCCTCCCTACTACTACTACTAGTAGTAGTAGTAGTGGCTAATAATTCATTCCTGTGTTTATCCAAAAGATGAAGATGAATGAAGAAACAGTGGCAACATTTAGAGGAGACAAATTCAACGGTTTGTTTATACTAGAGAAGATTTTTCAAATATATTATGAAACCAATGTTGAACACACTCTATAATATCTTTGTAGTGGAGTTTTGCCTGATTGGTTTAAGGAGATAACTTTCAATAATTAGATGGGTCATGGCATGGAATCAAAGGCTGTTCCACCTACACGGGAGGTTAGAACAGAGACAGATAGGCGAAATCAACGTTGAACCTGGCATACACAAGTGCATCATCTCAAGTTGTCACACCCTTGATAGTAGTATACAAGGAAGAGGTGGATCGAAAGGAAGACTGAGGAAATAAACAACTTGAAGATGAAGACTAGAAGTTGTCAAAAAGTGAATACATCTGCGTCATTGTGATGGATTCCAGTCAACTCACCAACGGCATAGTAAATGCTGAGTTTTGTGTAGTCACTACGTGAGTAATGCAGGAGTCGGGTGTAGTGTTTTAGGCAGAAGTAGTAAGTCAGTTGATGCGGTTGTGAACCTTCATCGAGTGAGATGACTGACTGGGAAATGTATTTCACATGTCTAGCTGTCGGTTACCTCCTCTTTTTGTGTTAGCCGAAGTAGATTCAAGTTGGTAAAAGGCTCGAGGCGGCCAGACTAAAACAGGAAATCAATGTATGGAAGTCCTTAACTATTGGTTTGAGCCGTGTATGGTGATGCAGACTAGCCGATGGGGTCCATGGGAGTAGAGAAACACGCGGTTGTTAGAGACTCGAGGTAGGATATGTCTGAGAACCCATTTCATCCTAACCGCTTTACCTAATCTCATCTTTTTCTCACTCCTCTTTTGTCGTTACTACCTTCTACTTTTACTTCGTTTGACTGAGTTTTCTTTCTTTCCTCATTTTTCATTTTATTTTCTTGTTACTTGATGTGCTGATATATAGTATGGCTGGCAACTTAAACCGTTTGCAGTAATACCTGGTCCTGGGATGATACTGATTGATTGGGAATAAGAGAAAAGAAAGCAAGTTTTGTGATTTTTAGCTCCTTTTTTCCTTCTTATTTATTTTATTAAGGCATAAAACAAAACAAAAACTTGTTTTCAGTAGTTATATCTGTTTGTTTTTCATACATTGATGTTTAAGTAATTCAGTGTTCTACTTGTGGTGTGCTGCATAGACTACATATGTGTCTTATTATTGCATCATGTAGGCAGGTGGTCACATATGTCCATTGAACTGGGTACATTTTGTACTAATACTGACTGACTCATTGGCATTCTTATTTGTTCATTCACTTGTTTTCAGTATTTATTACCCCCAAAAAACACATGTGTCATGTGTACAGTACAAACTAGATCATGGATAGAAGGTTGAATGTAACAAAGATGCTGTAGTTATGTATGTATATATGTGTTTTTGCATTTGCCAAGGTAAATAAACCTGAATATGAAAGTTCGTAGTTTCACGCATAGTAGCCGTCAATACAGACCTCTTGTTTTTTTTTAAACTATAGTCTTTGATTTGACAGCTTGTGCTCCTTTGTTGTTGGTTAGACTGAATTGTTCGGTTGGTTATTAAGCATTTGGACTCGTATATGAGTGTCTTGATATTGTTGGTGTTTTCAAATTTGTGGACATAATGTATATAAACTGGTTAGGTTGTTTGGACCTATCCTGGTCCTCTTATATCTTACTGATTGCCAAAACAATCTTCCACCTACCTTTTATTATTTTTATTTATTATGATTTGTTCTTTCGGTTTCTAGTGGGATATAAAGCTTCAGTTGCCCTTTCACTTTCCTCTCTGCAGTCTTTTAAACCTGCCTCAATAACTGCGCATAACTTTTCATTTCTTCCTCACGCGATCTCCTCCATGTCACACACGGACGCCCAAACCGTTGTTTCCCTTTCCGGTTCCACTCGAGGGCCTAGCCTGATGCGTGACGTCTCCAAATAGTCTTCTCAGTGTATGTCCTATCCAATCCATCTCCACCTTCTTCTGCATATTTGTTGGGTGATTGGTTCTTGTTTTGTTAGTTAGTTGCCAGGTCAGAGTTCTTCCTTGCTCATTCTTTGTGGCCATCTGCTTTTCACTATGTAGCGTAGGCGGCAGCTGTTGATGATATATGTCTGCAGTCTGTTGGAAATACTTTTCGTAACGCTCCAAGTCTCTCAACCACCAAATAGAAGCACTGAGTGTTTAAAATCCGGATGTTGTTATTTATGCTGAGTGCAATGCGGTGCGTTAGATCTCCACACTCATTTCAGATCAATAAAGGCATGTCCTTCCTATTCTGGTCTGGACATCCTCATCTATGCCTGTGTGGCCGCATGTAGTTGAAACGGTGGTGCCTAGATAGGTGAAAGAGACAACTTCCTTTAGATTTCTCCCACTGATGGTGATTGGTGCTTGTCGTTATTGTTGTTTTTGGTTGGGTATCTTCATCACCCGTGTGTTCTCTACGTTCTTACTTGTTCCTACTTTTGAAGAGACAGAAGTCAGGCATATCGGGAAGAACGTTTATTATCAACAGTTGGGACGGAGTCGTTGCACATGCTACACCTTGCACTAAAAGCTTCATTTACAAAATGTGCTTCGTTTCCTCTTCTGTTTCTCTCTTGATTTACTCTTCATACATTCTTATCACCAGCATACACTGTAATACGCTTGCGTTATCCCTTGCGTTTCTCTTGGCAGAATCCTTACTCATTTCTGGTAATTCCTTATGATTTCTGCCACCCTCTCAACATATACTACTTATATCCATTGTTATCAGCAACGCCCACTACACTTTCATATCTGCATGGGTATATTTCATAATAATCACAGTTTAACGAATTAATTTCGCAATATTACTTATTCATATGATTACTTCTTTAATTAACAAAGTATTTTATATCTTGTTTATCTTTTTCTCTCTCATATAGGAAGGTCTTATCGACTTTGAATCACAACGTAATCAATGTAGTCAGTTGTCGAATAATGATGATGATGATAGCGGTGGCAGTCTAATTGGTCTTGTGACTGGATTCACAGATGATGAGACATTACGCTCACTTCGTAGTGCTTTGACTGGTGTAGCAACCATAGCTGTAGGTGCTGTCGGCTTAGTCGCTGCATATCACTTCCTGAGTAAACGCTTGTAGACAACGATTGAGAGAAGGTGAGTAACAGAGAAGTGTAATTATGGTTGATGTTTAGAAGGCGAAAAGGTATTCAACGAAATTCTACTCATATTCTGCTTTACTCGTGTCACTGCTTTCTAATACATATTTATCTATATATATATACATATATAGTATACACACATGCACATTGTTCTTGTTCCCTTCCATTCCGGTGACTTTATTTATTATATATTATACATACCACCAATACACCTACCTTATATGTCATATTTAGGTAGATTTCATTTCTAAAACAACCAGTATTTTCTTCAGTTTCTGCATACCTACATTCTTCTTCAACGGTATTGGCTTGTTTACTTGCATGTGTATCTGCCACACACACACATACACACAATTCCTTAGCGATGATTTCACCCTGAGGACAAAATCCCAATGAAAGGTGAGTAATGTCATAAATGAAACTTCTCTGTATATATACATATGTATTGTAAAATAGTTGATTTGTGAAGTCATCTTTCTATGATACAAGTCAGAATCAAATGGATAATGGGTTCTCTACAGTCTTCTAGTGGAGGTCAATTATGGCGTAAATACCAATGGGTGAGGCAAGCTCAAAATCTCATGGTGGTGGTGGTGGGGGGGGGAGGTGATAGGGAGCAGGGGGGTGAAGACAACAGTTCTCTTGTGATTTGGCAACTACTATGTGTTATGGCCCCAACGATGTACGGATATCGAATATCAGCCACCAACGTTCAACAAATTCCTAGTTGATTTCCAACCTGACTAATTAATGGAGAAGACACGATGGATGTGTAGAAATCTGTATTGGGGTTGATGAAAGACTGAAGACCCAAAAACAGAGGAAAATATATCTAATATGAAGATAGTTCACCGTTTGAAATAATACTATTGATTGGTTACTTCATTATCTGTCTGTCTGTCTGGTTGACTGTAGATGTAATAACATAAAGTATATTTCGATTAGTTTCTCTCTAGACTAGTCTGTCCTCTTTATCCCCATATCAGAATCCACCTTGCTATGACGAGTGCCAACAAGCGTTTTACTTAGTGATTAACGTCGATCAAAGTGGACCACAAGGATTAACCGCTTATCCGATTGAATGGTTCACCAATTGTTGAATACATATTGTCTTAAGACACACTTGAGCAATAGTTGTATTCTGGTCAATAGGCTGTTCTGTTTGAGTTTTATGTATATATATATATATATTACAGCAGGTTATTCACAGATGTCTGCAATCCAGTTGTGAACAAATTGGTTTAGGCGATAAATTTTCTACCATTGACTATATGCAAATGACTAGCACTTTCTAATTTGTGACTGGTTGACAAAATCAACTTTGAGCCCCGCATATAGATGCATTGACACAGTTTACCACATTTCACAGTAGTATACCAACAATAGATGGATATAATTTAGAGTAGACAAAGTTGTTTGAGAGAATAAATCACTTGAAGAGAACAGTTGGTGCAAATGTTTATACGTTAGAAGATGTCAAGGAGGGTATTGAATACAACTGCGCCATTGTGTCGTGGCTTATCATGCGTTATACATGTTTGAACTGTCTCAGTTGAATAAGGTTCACAACCTCCATTAGTCGACTTGTCTGGTACTCTTTGCCTGACTTCAATATTGCTCATACTGTGATTCCCTTAAAGCCAAGCAATCCTATGAAGACACTTGTGATCGGAAACCTGTAATCGCTTCGTGTCTTCGACTTCTAACGAATTTGCAGTAGCAGTAGCACAGTATACTCGTCTTTTGATAGATAGTTGGATATTTCACCATTTGCCGCTAATCCTGTTACTTTTACTCACTAAGATTCAAGAATTGATATAGGTCAGATTGCATTAAGTCTTGTTATTAAACAATGGGAAATTATCTCATGCTTGATGGTGATGGGTTCAGTTCATTGATGTCACAGGACAATTGTTAGTTACACTGTACTTTACAGTATATTAAAAATCAGGGCATAACTATCAAAACACAAATAATCATTGTGTGAGTAATCTTAAAACGTAGAATGGGAAGTTGATATTTAGCCACCTGCCTGAAACTGAATGATAAAAGATGGCGACATCTTTGCATCCTAGGCATCCAATACTCACAAACTGTAATGGTAATGAGAGTTGGTGATATAAAGATCGATATTTGGTTCTGTAGAGTTAAGTGTTGTGATTATTTTACCTCTTGATGGTTAGCAGTTGTCTCCAGAATGCATATTTTGTCCCATTCGAAACTTACTAGTCAGCTTGGATATACTTCCTTCCCAGTGAGTAATATTGTTCCCGCTAGTTGCGCAACCATCGCTTTCAACGCCAATCCAATTCAATACTAATCAACAAAATAATCTGAATCAACAACTATACACACAATTAGTTCTATGCATTAGGCATTTAAGCCTAGACCTCCTCCGTGAATTTCGTTGAAGAGCTATCCGTGTTCCAGCTTGTTTCCTATTGGTTGAAAATTGTTGGCTAAGTAAATTTACAAATTGTAGTCTCACAATAGGCTACTGAAGTAAATTAGAGGGAGATGCAAGACAAAATTACTTTTTTCTAGTAACTTTTGGAGTAACAATGATCAACAGAATCGAACGTGTTATGTAATTATTGATACAGAATGGTGATTGAAAGGGTGAAATGAAAAACTAATCGAACTGCGCTTAACAACAACCTTGTTCGCATTTATGCTATAGGCAATAACCCACACCTACAATTCTGTGAGGGCTAACGGTACTATTTACACTTGGGTACTCAAATCACCTCGGTAGGAGGAGGTAGGGTCGAACCCGTGTTCCATTGGTTAAAGGTTAGTCTGTCTGTGACTTGTAGTAACTAAATACTACGCTGAAGTTTAGTCTCTTCTTAAGAATAACTGGTGTGTGTTATTGTGACTGGTTGGTTCAAGGAGTTGACTTTCAACTAGTAACGGGTCATGAATTCTAACTCCGCTCCACCTACCGTCGTGATTTAAACAGTCCTCTAGCCTTCACGCATACAGTGGTGTGACTCATTGCCTTCCACTGTGTGAATGTGTACAAGGTTGCTACGCATGCCGAGCCACTGCCTACCCTGATGTGTCTCTGAGTGTTGGCCCGAGTTGTGTGGGCAGATGTAGACTCCCTGGCTCGGGTCCCCAAGACGATAGGAATCAGTGGTTATGAACTCTCTGTGACATGACTGAAGAAGATGTCTTCTAAAGCTTGTCTGATTCTTCTTCTATCCATCTGTTCTTTGTATACTGCTGTGGAATGTGATAAATTGAGGTGATACACATGTGTATGCTTGTGCGTGCGATGTTCTACGTTGAAGTTGTCTATCTGGTGTAGTTCCAATACTCAGTCATCGTTTATTCATTATTTTTCTCTTCTAGAAAAAGAAAATCTGGTAACATCACTATTCTACAACAGTTTCTCAACCTTTTTGTTTCCAGTCCCCCGCTTATGCTATGCGCAACACAAGTAGCTAACTCTATACTCTTTGTTGGAAAAAAAAACTGTATTCATTTCTTCATCATCATCATCATAGTTTGTTTGTTCGATTTTTTTTAATTTTTGGTTAGTTGTTCATTTTTTTGACTAACTGACTAACTTCTCGTTTCTTTTGCCTATGCCAGCCTGTTTACACAGACACCTCATTTATTGTCATCAAAGAGCTACAATATTGTCATTAATATTATGTAATCATGTAACACAGTGCCAAGTAAGTTGTGATGATGAAGACGTTAGTGACTATTACTAGTACTACAGTTACGATGTCCAATTTGTCTTACTAATCTCATGTTTATCTATCTACCTCTATCAGCGTTATCATTATCATCTTTTATTGAGTTACTTTTCCCTTTGAACAATTTTATCTGTTAACATTGATCGTTTTTATTTCAAAAGAAAACAGAAGAAAGAGATACAAGTAAAACTTGTACTCTCAGTTCTTGATCATTGTAACCATTATATGTGGTATTGTTATTGCTATCTATCCTTTACCCTTTACATTCGAACAGACACTTCCTCATTTTACATAAGCGTATATACACCTTAACTATTATCATTTTATGATAGTTTACTTATAAATGGGGTGTTATTAAGAGAAGGGGGGGGGAAGAAAAAAAAGACTCATTCATTCTTATTTGTATGATATTTGGTGAGTTATCATTGTCTGTTCTTGTTAGTTACTGTTTAATAACTCATTGTCTCCTATTTTAGCCTGTTTAATTTATTTATCCACTTTCCCTTTTCATCTTATAACTGGATAAGCATTACCTCTGAGGTTTAACACATCTTGAGAATTATGAGAATATAAACTTTTAAATATCAAGTAAAATTTATTTATGTGTATTGAAATGATGGAGAATATTTATAGCTTACGATCCATTTAGATCAACATAGGACAAGGCATGACTGTGTAACGATCCGAGTTGCCACACCTCATATCAATACATCAAGTAAAAAGGTAGTGAACTGGAAGATGGAGAAGAAAATTCAGTCAGATGAAAAATATAAAGTACTAAAAGAGAGAAAGGAAGAATAAGAAAATGGTGAGATTCGGTATAGCGTCGTTCTCGGTTCATCGGTTCTGAGCCATGTGATCACCTAGCCTCCGACAACCACTAGTTTCTCTTGTCCCACCGACACCAACCATCCAATCTGCACCGACACACATGGTTCAAACCAACAGTCAGCGACTTCATACATTGGTGCCATGTTTTGGTCTGACCACCTCGGACCTTTTTCCAGCCTGAACCTATTTCGGCCAACATTGAATGACAAGGCAATCGGTGACTAGGCATATGTAGTACCTGGAGGTAAATAAAACATACTCCGCTGCTAACGAGATGAAACAGTAAACAATCTAACACAATACCAAATTAATAATGATGGAGCTGTCACATGAATGAATAAGAATGGAAAAGGACTAGACCAAAACATGAGATAAAATAGATGTGTAAAGAAAGGCTATAGCTTATACCTTTAGTCGGAACAACAGCACTCATTAGGCGAAAGGCATATACAACTAACGAATCCCGAATAAAACGAAACGTCTAATCTACATTCAACTGGTATTCATCATTATTATCAAATAGACGGATAAGCCTAGGACAAGGTAACGTTCAATACTTGAAATAAGATAAGCACTAAGCGAATCAACACAATTTGTGTTAGAAAATTCAGTCGATAGTATAGATCAACAACGACACCTATATATTTCACATACATCATCATCATCATACAAATCAACACAGGACAAGGCATGACTGTGCAATGGTTCCAGTTGCCACACCTCATCAAGTAAAAGGCAGTGAACTGGAAGATGAAGAGAAGAAAATTCAGTCAAACGAAAAATATAAAGTACTAAGAGAGAGAAAGGAAGAATAAGAAAATGGTGAGATTCGGTATAGCGTCGTTAAGATGAGGATAATGTGTGTGAGGATACATCTGCGCCACTGACATCAGTTCTCAGACATGTGATCACCTAGAGTCTCCAACAACCACTGGTTTCTCTTGTCCACCGACACCAACCACTCGGTCTGCATCGACCCACATGGTTCAAACCAACAGTCAAACACTTCATACATACATTGATGTCATGTTTTGGTCTGGCCACCTCGGACCTTTTTCCAGCCCGAACGTACTTCGGCCAACATTGAATGACGAGGCAATCGACGACTAGGCATACGCAACATGTGTCCAGTCAACCATCTCAGTCGATCGAGGTTCACAACAGCATCAGCTGATTTACCTCTACTCCCTATAACTCTACACACCTGACGTCTGCGTTACTCACGTGGTGACACCACGGAAAATGGCCTATACTTGAAGCCTTCTCATATCTTCCACCTTGAATGGCCATGTTTCACAGGGATAGAGTAGAAGAGAGTGGACTGCTGAGCAGTACATGCGACCCTTAATCGACAATCGGATATCGCGGTGGTGCAATAGGTGGCGTGAGTTGGCAAAAGCCAGTTGAGCCTTTTGTATTCGTGCAGAGATTTCGTCGGCCACTGAGCCACCAGGGCTAATCCTACTTTCCCAGGTAAGTGAAGTGATCGGTACACTCAACCACTACACTCTCTATTGTTAGCCGTGTCACCGTGGAAGACCAATCTTGGAGCAAAAGTTTGCATTTGGGTGGTGAGGAACGCATCCGAAACAATCTTAAATTGCCACTCGAAGTGTCCAGAAGACTCTTCATCTTGTCATCGTATTCTAGGTCTGATGAAAATTCTCCAGCAATTAGTTAGGTCTGGTGAATGGTGTCGGTGGTGTTGCGTTTCAATAGGTTAATCTGATGAACTAGTTTGGGATTGGTTGTTTACTTTCATTGTTATGTTATTGACTAGCTATATCGATTTTCCTATTGGTTGTCAACTGACTGAAGTAGTAGTAGTGCTAAAAATTAATTGCCCACAGACTAATCAAATCAGGAAGAACACACTGCACTATACAACAATTTCATGAGGAAACGAAGAAAAAACAGTTACGCATACAATTTCATGCAAAGATTCATATCCAGTTCATTATCAACTATAAAGTTCAACAAATGGATCATCCTGTCATACATAAAGAACATATGAGAGATCACGACATGATTGTTGTGATAACTTGGAATTGGTGTGCCTCATAAAACAACAAATTACCTTCAAACTACACAACAAAGGGAAAAAGATAAATCAAAGATTCTTGACAAAGTCAACTCCAAAAATTGTGATCCCCTTCGTTTACATGAGAATATTCACCAAGTGGCTCATTTCAATGCATGTGGACAACGATGTACATGGATTCAATTTTGACAATGTAGAAATCTTGAACAAAGGAAATTCAACGAATTCTCAGAGGCTTGGCATTCAGGTTGGACAACAATCAATGCATAGATGAGTAGACATGAGCCAAATCTATGAAGCAATCAGAAGAATGGTGGATGACTACATAGTCAGAGGTTAGGCAGAGAAACAGCCAATCGGGAAATATGTGCAGTCAGTCAGTAACACAACAACCAATCAAAAACCACTTGGTCAGGGCAAGCTACTGAATCATACACAGAAATATTGACAGCTCACTACACACTGAAGTTAGTGCTAATGATGTCTAGCAAGACGACGAATGCTTTATGAATAAAACCACCCAGCTAAGAGAACACAAAGAAGAATTGTGTATTACTCATTATTGAGGAAGTAGTGTTGTTTATGTTCGAAGTGAAATCATTGCTTCTTCGTAAACTGATAACTGACTTACGTGTTTTTCGAAACTCCCAACTTGTAGATGTGTACAGTGCTTTATGGTGTACAGCATTTTTGTTGTCAACCAATTCGAAGAAGAGAACAAAATACAGTACCATGATATACATGAATGGAAGTGGGTGTAAATTCAGGTGACAGTCCAAAGAGTTATATTCACTTGAAATACTTAAATATGGTTTTATTTCTAGCGACTCCGACTAAGGAGTTTAAATTTTAGGTTAGAATTCATCATGAAATCTGGAAGCGCTGAACAGCTGCTTCGTCCTGGTACATGACTCCTCATCAGTGCGCACCCATGACCCCGGCTAGGGGTCGAACTCAGGACCTTCAGGTTCCGTGGCCAGTCCGTTACCATCGAGTCACTGGGTCAGAATCCAGTGGTCCATGTTTCCCACTTCTGCACTGCTGAGGAGTCCCGTACTAGGACGAAATAGCTGACTGTCCAGTGTTCTTGGGTCTTCAATGTTCTTCAAACTGACATGTCAGTCCATGATGGATTCTAACCTAAAATCAGTTAGTAAATCTTCACAGACCTTCAAATAGAATTAAGGTGTTTAGTGTTCATCAATGCAGTTAACAATAAGAGTCGCTTTATAGGTGTGTTGTCCATATGAATGATATTGAAGTCCGTTTTTTCCAACTAGTCCAAAAACTAACATATCAAGACCATTCACATGTTAATTCTGTACTAACTTCAAGTATTAACGTTCCAAATCGATGGTTTTATCAACTGTGAGTATAATATCCACGGGTCTGACGTGGTTGGATTGATGATTTGGTACCAGTCTAGAACAAAATTCATCACTTGATGGGGAAGATATTTTGTTGCTATTACTAGTACCGTAAATTGATAAGTGTGATCTGTCTGGTTCCGACTTGGCAGACCTTATGTTACCAGATTAAAGTAAAATAATCCTACTGAAAAGATGAGACCAAGTGTAGGTGTCCACCACGTAGAACTTCGCACACAACTGCATCACCTCAAGTCATCACACTTGACAACAGCATACTAAGAACGAAAACGACTGATAACAAAGTAGACGAAGCTCGTTTAGCACTCACCGGCTTTCGTCATCTGTGGCATCGACTGATGAGATATCCAACTACTTATGAAAAGATGAATTTATTGCACTACAGTTTGTTCTGTCTTGTTATGCGGGGTGTGAGACATGTCCGTTGAACGTAGAAGACAAGAGGCAGTTGTAGCATTGTTATCGTTTGATGCAATCACCGTGCGAGCAATGTTGAGCTCATGCGAAGGGTATTAGGCAAATTGATTGATGAGGTTGTAAACCTTCATCAACTGAGGTGGCCTGGACATGTCCTGTGCTTGCCGATCCACCGTTAACCTTGAAATCCTATACTATGGGAAGGTGGATTAGCTCGGAAGAGGGTTCAAGGTGGCTAGACTAGTACGTGGAACCAATTTGTAAAGTCCTTAATTGTTGGTCTGAGACATGTAGGAAGTAGACTATCTGGTTGGCGTCCCCAAGACGATAAAAGTCATAGGTGACATGGTCGGAAATCGATCTTAACGTCTTCCAAAGATGGAATATATTCACTAATCTTTATTGTTTCACACTATGTCAGTCTTCTTTCCATTTGTTCTTTGTATGCTGCTATCAAGCGTGGTCAGTTGAACCGATTCATGGTTCGACGTAGATTTTTGTTTGTCTATACGACATTGTGTTTATAATGCTA